TAAGTTCATCCATTTGCAACTATATTATTTTTTTATACAGGTGTAAAGTGATTAGCCGTGCTTCTAAGTGAATGATTTTAAGGAGCACAGCTTTAAAACTTCCAGACAAACATATGAAACTCCATTAAAGGGGACATATCATGAAAAATCCACTTTTTGTGCCTTAAATGCCTCTTGTTGTGAAGTTGGAGCCTCTAGAAGTGCAAAAAAGTTGAAGTCAGTCTCTTCATGGGTTGCAGAGAACACTTCATATTCTGTTTAGGTAAGATTTTTCAACCCGTTCTGATTTTGCCATTCTCTATTACGTGTTTAAAATTATTACGTCACAGTGTTTGCAGCGAGACTGCCATATAAGGGCATGGGCGTCTAACAAAGCACTTCGGCCCAGCCCTCCTCTACTGTACATCACTTCATTTGTAGTCCAAGCTCAAGGATGCCAGCGCACAGGGCTGGACTGGCCATCGGGCGTACCGGGCAATGCCCAAAGGGCCGATGCCCATATTTGGGCCGGTCTGTCTGCCTCATACAAAACACATGTTTATGAGAAGTGTAAATCCGTTGAGAATTCGGGCGTTCTGCTCTCCCAAAATTCCATCCGATGGGCGGGGGAGCGACTGAATTTTGCGTTGCATTATGGGTAACACTTGCCTTCGCAACTTCCGGTTCTCTCTGCCCGGCGCATTTTCTCTAAATGGTTGAGTGTTTTCGTCATTTTCTGTTGAATCCGGTTTTATCATGGGCTTCCCGTCTCTAACTAGTGGCATATCGCGCATATCATCCGTCCAATTCACATTCTTCCCTCTTAGCTGAACTTCATTCTCATTGTTACCATCTGTCACTCGCACACACAGCCGTTTTCGTTCACTCTGCTCGCCGTCATCTTCTTCTAAATCTTCATAAACACCATCCGCTCGTTGAACTAGCAACAACAATTCCTCCTTTCGTTTTCCCACACTGCAAATACCCTTTCGCTTCAACCTTTCACGCAATTCAGGCACTGTCAATCGTTTGTTGTTTTCGTGAGCCATATTCGCCATTGTATGAAATCAACCGGAAGTGAACTGGGCAACAAACGGTGTCATTTTTTGATCACAGCGCCGCTCAGTGGATGAAATTTTGGGAGAGCAGAACGCCCGAATTGTTCGAGCGGGGCGCGCGTATCCGCGGGGCACCTGCTGTATGTACTCGAACGGGATTCCGCCACCTCAGCGGCCGCAGTGTTCCGGGGCATCTGCGGCCGCTTTGTAATGAGCAGCTTCTGCGTCCAGCGGCTGCGAGAGGCTGTGAGCGTCCAGCGGCTGTGAGAGGCTGTGAGCGTCCAGCGGCTGCGAGAGGCTGTGAGCGCCCAGCGGCTGTGAGAGGCTGTGAGCGTCCAGCGGCTGCGAGAGGCTGTGAGTGTCCAGCAGCTGCGAGAGGCTGTGAGCGTCCAGCGGCTGTGAGAGGCTGTGAGCGTCCAGCGGCTGTGAGGCTGTGAGTGTCCAGCGGCTGCGAGAGGCTGTGAGCGTCCAGCGGCTGTGAGAGGCTGTGAGCGTCCAGCAGCTGCGAGAGGCTGTGAGTGTCCAGCAGCTGCGAGAGGCTGTGAGCGTCCAGCGGCTGTGAGAGGCTGTGAGCGTCCAGCGGCTGTGAGGCTGTGAGCGTCCAGCGGCTGCGAGAGGCTGTGAGTGTCCAGCAGCTGCGAGAGGCTGTGAGCGTCCAGCGGCTGTGAGAGGCTGTGAGCGTCCAGCGGCTGTGAGAGGCTGTGAGCGTCCAGCGGCTGTGAGCATCCAGCGGCTGTGAGCGTCCAGCGGCGGCGAGAGGCTGTGAGCGTCCAGCGGCTGCGAGAGGCTGTGAGCGTCCAGCGGCTGTGAGCGTCCAGCGGCTGTGAGAGGCTGTGAGCGTCCAGCGGCTGTGAGAGGCTGTGAGCGTCCAGCGGCTGTGAGAGGCTGTGAGCGTCCAGCGGCTGTGAGAGGCTGTGAGCGTCCAGCGGCTGTGAGAGGCTGTGAGCGTCCAGCCGCTCGCAGCCGCTCCACCGTGTTGTGGCTGAGCGCGCAGCCTCAACGTGGCCATGTACCCAACCCCATAAACACAGGACCATGCGTGTCTTTGAGTAATCTGTGCACCCAATAAATACACTGCTGCAGGAAACAGTCCGCGTCTCCCCTCTCCTCTCGAAGCGCGATTAAACGCCCTAAATAAAGCTCTGATACCTACATTTTGCATTGCATTAAAAGTTCATGTTTGAGCCCAAAAGTAATATGTTGTGAACAAATTAAACAGATTTAGAGCCAGCTAATGGCTGACAATATGCATTTCAGTCTTTTTTGACCAATTCTCATGCCTGTAACAAACAATAGTGTTGTCTGTGTCCACCTCCCTCACTCTGAGACATGTTTATTACTCTGTTTAATGTAGACTATTGCATTTTATTTTATTGTTGAAACTGCACATATCCTGATCCTCTACAGCAGGGGTGCTCAATACGTCGATCGCGAAGGTAGTATTGGTAGATCGCGTGTCATAAAAAAAGATTGACGCCAGCCTATCATTCAACGCGTCTTTTGACTGATGAACAGGCAGCCAGTCAGATCGTAAAACTCAGCCCCTCGGAGCGCGCACTACAAAATAAAATAGAGGTAACTGACGCTTTATGTACGCTGTGATTGATCTAAAGCTGACCAAAGAAAACAACCACTCAAAGATCTGCTGTGCGTAATGACTACACCATTTACTCAGTCCAAAAACAAACATAACCATAAACAATATATCAGAGTCCTCCCCGCGCCCACCGTATGCCCCACTTCAAACCTGGTGACGAGTCCGTGGCTCCGGTGATAGTCCGTGTACTTCAAAAGACAAATCCAAAACGTAATGAAAGTAATCCAAACGGAACGGGAAAGTATTCCAAGTGTGAAAGTAATCCAAAAGTTCAGAGCGGGGCAGAGCGCATTGGGCGAGTGCGCACAGTCTCTCCCTCTCCAGTGTATATTAAATACCTACGCACAGTATCGTGCGTGAGCGGCAACCCGGCTCTCCTGCGGGGTTCGTCCCGAGGGTCCGAACAGTCTGCTATATTAATCCTCACACCGATCACCGACTCGAGTCTCTCGTGGTCTCCTTGAGCCGTGTCCAAAACCCAAAGATGTCATCTGACAGCGGCTGTCATTTTTCTGACACTTAGGTCACTGCGCATGCGCAAACACCGGCGCTCAGTGGCGGTAATTCGGGCGTTCTGCTCTCCCAAAATTTCATCCACTGAGCGGCGCTGTGATCAAAAAATGACACCGTTTGTTGCCCAGTTCACTTCCGGTTGATTTCATACAATGGCGAATATGTCTCACGAAAACAACAAACGATTGACAGTGCCTGAATTGCGTGAAAGGTTGAAGCGAAAGGGTATTTGCAGTGTGGGAAAACGAAAGGAGGAATTGTTGTTGCTAGTTCAACGAGCGGATGGTGTTTATGAAGATTTAGAAGAAGATGTCAGAGAGCAGAGTGAACGAAAACGGCTGTGTGTGCGAGTGACAGATGGTAACAATGAGAATGAAGTTCAGCTAAGAGGGAAGAATGTGAATTGGACGGATGATTTGCGCGATATGCCACTAGTTAGAGACGGGAATGTATTTGCAAAATGCGCCGGGCAGAGAGAACCGGAAGTTGCGAAGGCAAGTGTTACCCATAATGCAACGCAAAATTCAGTCGCTCCCCCGCCCATCGGATGGAATTTTGGTAAAGCAGAACGCCCGAATTCGCTGACAAGCTAGTTTTGCTGCAATTTTCTGCCCTTGTTTGTTTTCTATCAAACCTAAGAAAGGTTATAAAAATGAGCAGGGGAGCTGGACCAAGTAAGAAGTCAAAAACTTATCACTTTCATTCCCAATGGGAGGAGGACTATTTTTTCACGATGACATTTTCGAAGTGCGTTTGCCTCATCTGCCAGTCCACCATCGCAATACCAAAGAAGGGAAATGTGGAGCGGCATTTTCGGACTATGCATGGAAAATACGACACCGACTTCCCACCAAAAAGCGAGCTGAGAAAGAGAAAGGTGAAGGAACTAAAATCACAGTTGTCCGGACAGCAGTCATTTTTCACACAACAAACTTCAAGAGCGAAAGCTGCCACCGAAGCATCGTTCCGAGTGAGTCACTTCATCGTTAATAAAAAAAAGTCATTCCAAGACGGAGAGATGGTAAAGGAGGCATTCGTTGAAGCAGCTGATTCATTGTTTCGAGACTTTAAAAATAAGGCAGACATATTATCTTCGATCAAAGCTCTCCAGCTGTCAAGAAGTACAGGCACGGTGGCTGAGTGGATAGCACTCTCGCCTCTCAGCAAGTAGGTCCTGGGTTCGAATCCCGGTCGGACCAGGGCCTTTCTGAGTGGAGTTTGCATGTTCTCCCCGTGTCTGCGTAGGTTTGCTCCGGGTACTCCGGTTTCCTCCGGGTGCTCCGGTTTCCCCTACCACTAAAAATATGTGCCTCCTGTACTGGCGACCCCGCTCCCATCTCTGTGTGGAGTGAGAGGATAAATGCCCTAAAAATAACAATTGTAAACCGCTTTGAGACGCCGATGTGCAGTGAAAAGGCGGTATATAAATAAAGATTACTACTACTACTACTACTACAGCCATGGCTGAGGATTTAACCCAGCAACTCTGGAAGGACATCGGAGATTGCGAGTGTTTCTCACTGCAGTAGGACGAATCTACGGACGTGAGTGACACAGCCCAGATGTGCATTTTTATTCGTATGGTGTTTAGTGATATCACTACAAAAGAAGAGCTATTAACAGTACTGCACATGAAAGAACAGACACGAGGAGAGGACATATTTAATTTGTTTAAAAACTTTATGGAGAAAACTCAGCTCCCAGTGTACAAACTGGTGTCTATCACCACGGATGGAGCTCCCGCAATGGTTGGCCGCTTGAATGGATTTATTGCCAAGTGCAGGCAGGACGATGATTTCCCGGACTTCCTAAATTACCATTGCATAATCCACCAACAAGCGTTATGCGCGAAAATGCTCAACATGAAGGAGATCATGGATGTTGCAACAAAGATCGCCTGTTCTATTCGCGCCAGATCTCTTCAAAGACGGTTATTTCGTGCACATCTGGAGAAGGCTGACTGCGACCACTCTGAGTTGTTGCTGCACACTGACGTGAGAGGGCTTAGTCGAGGGAAATTCCTGCAACGATTTCGAGAGCTCTGTCCAGAGATAAGGGAATTTTTCCGTGTAGCTGGACATGCAGAATACACGCAACTAAATGACGGTCAGTGGCTGTTAGACTTGGCATTTTTAACCGATCTGACCAACATGTTTAATGAGCTTAATCTAGAGCTGCAAGGAAAAGACAAAACAGCCATTTGGAACACTTCCAGAACCTGGCGTCAGAGCTGGAGATGCAAGGGAAGGCCTGTGTGCAACTTGACAGTGCGCGCTACACAGAGCAGATTGACAATTGTCAGTCAGAGTTTGACAAACGCTTTCAAGACTTTTCTTTGATCGAGCCAGTTGCTACATTCATGTGCTATCCTTTTCAGGAAGATGCTGAGGTTGAATCACTCGCATCCAAAATTGCAACACTATTTCACCTGAACTTTTCTGGAGTGGAAGAGGAGATTTTGACACTGCAAGCTGACATTGAGCTGAAGTCCAGAGCTCATGGACAGTTCTGGAACTTACTCACAGAGGTGAAGTACCCCAACATCAGGAAATGTGCTACCTCCTTGACTGCATTATTCGGCTCCACTTATTTATGTGAGTCAGCCTTTTCCCACATGAAGATCATTAAGTCCAAGTACCGTTCCACCATGACTGATGAACATTTGGAAGTGTGCTTGAGGCTGGCTGTCAGCAGCTACTGTCCGGACTATGCATCCCTGGCTGATTCAATTCAGTGCAAGTCATCAGAGTAAACTTGGATAATGACAAAAAATGTACATAGTTATTTGTATTGGGTTGTTCTATATTGGCTCGTGCGGTTTTGCATGTACATCAACATAAATTGTTGATATAATATCCTCAATACATTTGGAAATAAATTTATGTTTTGCATTTTTGTAGTAGGTAGATCATTTTGACTTGATCAATTTATAAGTAGCTCACATGCTGAAAAAGTGTGAGCACCCCTGCTCTACAGTATTTGCTTCCACATACTGTATAAACCAGGAGTCGGCAAACTGCGGCTCCGGAGGCGCATGCGTCTCTTTCCTTCTGTAGAAGGAAAAACGTTCTTAACGTTTTTAAATGCTGTAAAATTGTGCATAAGTAATATTCAATTAAAAATTTTCTGTCAACGTGTCTGTCAAACCGGCGTGTGAGCATCATAGACTGTGCGCATGGATCCCTAAAAAGAGAAGAGTCGATAATAAGACTGGACTAAGAATGAAACATTTGCTTTCAGTCAATGAGGAAGGACTGCTTCATGTTTGCGATGTAATGAGAAGTTTCTATGAGATAATTGTATCTGTGCTTAGAAACTACAAATATGGCCGCTCGGGGTGGAGTTTAACCTGTGTCACCTGGATGGGGGCGTGGTCAAAAGCGCCTCATTTGCATTTAAAGAGACAGCACCAAAACAGGTTGCTCTCAGACGCACCTCAGAACAGGTGTAGAAGAAAGGCCCGTGGAGCTACAAATAATGAGCCTCAGACCCAGGCATTGCAGTTACGCTTTATATAGGCCACAAATTAATGATTTAGATGTAAAAATCAATTATTTTAAAACATGATATGTCCACTTTAAAGGCCATGTCTCTAGATCCTGTGTGTTTAGTCTCCGTCACCACAGCTTTAGAGCAGAGGCTTCAGACAGAACAGTGAGAAAGAGAGGACCGCCCTCACTCAGCCAATCAGCTCTCAGCCCAAAGGGTCAAATACTGTACCGCAGCAGAGGTCTCAGAGGTCCAGGCTCAGGTCTCAGAGGTCCAGGCTCAGGTCTCAGAGGGCCAGGCTCAGGTCTCAGAGGTCCAGGCTCAGGTCTCAGAGGTCCAGGCTCAGGCTCAGGTCTCAGAGGTCCAGGCTCAGGTCTCAGAGGTCCAGGCTCAGGTCTCAGAGGTCCAGGCTCAGGTCTCAGAGGTCCAAAAGCAGTCCACTCTGTATGAAGCCGCTGCTCCAACTGTCCGTGAGTCTGAAGAGAATCTGTCCTTAATCCACATCATAAACACAATCATTAACCTGAGATCCCTGGATTCAAAGTCCATGGTGTTTACGGCACCATCGCTTCAGACAGTTACAGGAAGTGCCTTATATGGACCTGCACACCTTAGAGACAGAGGAGCTCAGTAACATGGGAGGAGCTCAGAGTAGAGCTCTCTCTCTCTCTCTCTCGTAACTAATCACATTTCCAAAGTAACTGAATGAATAACTTTTACATTACTCTATAAGATTAGCTGTAACCATGTAACACATGGTACTTACTTTCTGGTCACTAACACAGACACATGGTACTTACTTTCTGGTCACTAACACAGACACATGGTACTTACTTTCTGGTCACTAACACAGACACATGGTACTTACTTTCTGGTCACTAACACAGACACATGGTACTTACTTTCTGGTCACTAACACAGACACATGGTACTTACTTTCTGGTCACTAACACAGACACATGGTACTTACTTTCTGGTCACTAACACAGACACATGGTACTTACTTTCTGGTCATTAACACAGACACATGGTACTTACTTTCTGGTCACTAACACAGACACATGGTACTTACTTTCTGGTCACTAACACAGACACATGGTACTTACTTTCTGGTCACAAACACATGGTACTTACTTTCTGGTCACAAACACATACACATGGTACTTACTTTCTGGTCACTAACACAGACACATGGTACTTACTTTCTGGTCACTAACACAGACACATGGTACTTACTTACTGGTCACTAACACAGACACATGGTACTTACTTTCTGGTCACTAACACAGACACATGGTACTTACTTTCTGGTCACTAACACAGACACATGGTACTTACTTTCTGGTCACTAACACAGACACATGGTACTTACTTTCTGGTCACTAACACAGACACATGGTACTTACTTTCTGGTCACTAACACAGACACATGGTACTTACTTTCTGGTCACTAACACAGACACAGGGTACTTACTTTCTGGTCACTAACACAGACACATGGTACTTACTTTCTGGTCACTAACACAGACACATGGTACTTACTTTCTGGTCACTAACACAGACACATGGTACTTACTTTCTGGTCACTAACACAGACACATGGTACTTACTTTCTGGTCACTAACACAGACACATGGTACTTACTTTTCTGGTCACTAAACACAGACACATGGTACTTACTTTCTGGTCACTAACACAGACACAATGGTACTTACTTTTCTGGTCACTAACCGACAGACACATGGTACTTACTTTCTGGTCACTAACACAGACACATGGTACTTACTTTCTGGTCACTAACACAGACACATGGTACTTACTTTCTGGTCACTAACACAGACACATGGTACTTACTTTCTGGTCACTAACACAGACACATGGTACTTACTTTCTGGTCACTAACACAGACACATGGTACTTACTTTCTGGTCACTAACACAGACACATGGTACTTACTTTCTGGTCACTAACACAGACACATGGTACTTACTTTCTGGTCACTAACACAGACACATGGTACTTACTCATTCTGGTCACTAACACAGACACATGGTACTTACTTTCTGGTCACTAACACAGACACATGGTACTTACTTTCTGGTCACTAACACAGACACATGGTACTTACTTTCTGGTCACTAACACAGACACATGGTACTTACTTTCTGGGTCACTAACACAGACACAAGGGTACTTACTTTCTGGTCACTAACACAGACACATGGTACTTACTTTCTGGTCACTAACACAGACACATGGTACTTACTTTCTGGTCACTAACACAGACACATGGTACTTACTTTCTGGTCACTAACACAGACACATGGTACTTACTTTCGGTCACTAACACAGACACATGGTACTTACTTTTTCTGGTCACTAACACAGACACATGGTACTTACTTTCTGGTCACTAACACAGACACATGGTACTTACTTTCTGGTCACTAACACAGACACATGGTACTTACTTTCTGGTCACTAACACAGACACATGGTACTTACTTTCTGGTCACTAACACAGACACATGGTACTTACTTTCTGGTCACTAACACAGACACATGGTACTTACTTTCTGGTCACTAACACAGACACATGGTACTATACTTTCTGGTCACTAACACAGACACATGGTACTTACTTTCTGGTCACTAACACAGACACATGGTACTTACTTTCTGGTCACTGGTCTTACTTTCTGGTCACTAACACAGACACATGGTACTTACTTTCTGGTCACTAAAATCAAATGATCCTGATTTTATGCTTATGGCTGAAACATGACACAGGAAATGCATGGTACTTACTTTCACTTTGTCTCCCATAGAATGCCCCTTGGAAATTTTTCATCGTTTGAGTATATTTCTTTTAAAATGGAACAAAAGCAATCTTCTACTCTTTTCATTGTCCTGTACAGGCCACCACAGTCATGTTGCGATTTTATTGACCATTTTACTGAACTACTTTCATTCGTGTGCACAGATTTTGATAGTTTAGTTATTACAGGTGATTTTAATGTACATGTTGATAATGTTGATGACAGAAATGCAAAGGAGCTGGCTTCTGTATTTGAGACCTTTGGTTTCATTCAGCACGTGAGTGGCCCCACCCACAGCAGGGGGCACACTCTTGACCTGCTAATTACAAAGGGGGTTAATGTATCAAATGTTAATGTAGTTGATGTTGCTTTGTCAGATCATTTCTGTGTATTTTTTGACATGTGTTTTGCTAGCAAACCACCAGCTGAATTTACAACTGTTAGAAGAAGACACATACATGAAAACACAAGTGAACTGTTCATGGGAATGCTAAATTTTGAGAAAACTCCATGCTCTACTGTTGATGAATTGTATAACTCTGTCACCACCAGTGTTCTGACTGTTCTGGACGCCATTGCTCCTGTGACGGTTAAAATAGTTACCAGTAAGAAAAAGGCCCCATGGACTAAGGCAGACTCGGTTAGGGCACAGAAGCAAGAGTGCCGGAGGGCCGAACGGAAGTGGCGAAAGTCCAATTTCCAGGGCGATTATGAAATCTTTAAAGATGAGTTGGGTGAATTTAACCGGGTTCTACGTAGAACAAGAGAAATGTATTTTTCTGACATTATTGGAGGTTGCAGTAACAATTTTCGTGTTATGTTTTCAACAGTTGGTAGATTAACGAACCCCCCTGTAAAGTTGCCCCTAGAATTTTCCTCTAAATCTAGGTGTAATGAGTTCGCACAGTTTTTCGATGACAAAGTACAAGGAATCAAAAACACTATCACCTCCACAGCACGTATAACAATGCAACAGCCAGAGAAGCTTTCTGAGCTAACTCACTTTGCACCTGTGGATACTGAAACTGTCAAAAAGATAATCATGAGTCTGAGCTCCTCCACATGTAGCCTGGATATATTGCCCTCTAAATTTCTGAAGTCCGTCCTGAGCAGTTTGTTACCTTCACTGACACAAATAGTAAACATGTCTCTGTCGTCAGGAACATTTCCTATGGCCCTAAAAACAGCAGTCATAAGACCTCTCCTAAAAAAGAGCAGTCTGGATCCTGCGGGACTTCAAAATTATCGCCCCATATCGAATCTGCCATTTATTGGAAAAATTCTTGAAAAAGTGGCCTCCCAACAACTTACTGAATTTTTAACAATGAATAATTCTTTTGATATGTTCCAGTCTGGGTTTAGACCCCACCACAGCACTGAGACCGCTCTAGTGAAGGTAACAAACGACATTCGACTTCACACTGATGCAGGTAAAGTCACAGTTTTGGTCATGTTAGATCTTAGTGCCGCGTTCGACACTGTCGACCATGAGATCCTCATGCAGAGACTGGAGGACTGGGCTGGTGTCACTGGCACAGCCCTAGACTGGTTTAGGTCTTACCTGGAGGATAGGAAGTACTCTGTGGAGATTGGAGACTGCGTCTCAGATGATGTGGCCCTGACCTGTGGTGTACCACAGGGGTCGATCCTGGGACCTCTCCTATTTAATCTCTACATGCTGCCGTTAGGTCAGTTAATACAAAGAAACAAAGTGTCCTACCACAATTACGCTGACGACACTCAGATCTATGTCTCACTGACTGCAGGAGAACATGGACCACTGGATTTGCTCCTTCACTGTATCCAACAGATCAGTGACTGGATGCAAAATAATTTCCTCCAGCTAAATACAGACAAAACCGAAATCATTGTCTTTGGTCCCCAGAAACAAAGAGAGGGCGTCATTTGTCAACTTCAGTCTCTCTCCCTACTTCCTTCAGACAAGGTCAGAAATTTGGGGGTAATACTGGACTCAGACCTAAATTTCAATAGCCACATAAAATCAATAACATCAACAGCTTTTTACCATCTGAAGAACATTGCCAAAGTTAGAAATATAGTGTCCAGGGCAGACTTGGAGATTCTTGTCCATGCATTTGTCTCCAGCAGGCTAGACTACTGCAATGGCCTGCTTACAGGTCTGTCCAAACAGACCTGTAAGCAGCTGCAGTACATCCAAAATGCAGCAGCTAGAGTCCTGACAGGAACCAGGAAGTATGACCATATTAGTCCGGTCCTCAGGTCTCTGCACTGGCTTCCTGTGGCTCAAAGAATAGATTTTAAAACGGCTCTGCTTGTGTACAAGTCTCTCCATGGCCTTGCACCAGAATACATTAGTGACATGTTGGTGTCATATGAACCAGCCCGGACTCTGAGGAGCACAGGGACTGGCCTCCTGCTGGTGCCCAGAGTGAGAACCAAACATGGGGAGGCTGCGTTTCAGATCCATGCAGCTAAGATCTGGAACAATCTCCCTGAAAATGTGAGGGAGGCGTCTACTCTGTCAATGTTCAAATCCAGGTTAAAGACTGTTCTGTTTGCCTGTGCATACAACTGAAGGATTTTATCTCCATTTTTAATGCACTGCTGTCATTTATTTATTTTTTTAAATTTCTTGTGTAATTTTGAAAGTTTTAATGGTTTTATTCTTT